ATCCCACTCTACTGGATCAGGGAAGCTTTGAAGGTCAGGGATCCCTGTAGTGACAGACTGCTTCTTGTGCTGGTCAGAAGGGAAGCACTTGAAAAGAATTCTGCATAATTTAGGTGCTGGATATGAGCTGATGGCTGTACATTTACAGCACCCCCTCCTCTTTGACTTCATAGTGAAGGACCTCTTGGCTCAGTTTTAAGATGTGAACATGGACCATATATTGACATGGCAGTGCCGGAGGCTTAGTTTCTTGGCTTCAGCTTTTCACAGGAAGGATTTCATTTTGAATTCCAGAAGTGCAGGAAGCGCAGAATTTATGTATCATTGTTCATTATCATGGTGATCATATAGCTGGCCTAAAAATCACCAAGGACTGTTAATGGACAGGTTGGCTGGATTCTTGGATAGTTTATACCCAATCCTCGAAGACCATCCTTGGCTCCTTGATACAAAAGGAATTGGAAAAAAGAAAGGTGGTTCCCTAATTAACTGGCAGCTTTTGATGTTTGATAGCTTAGGTGAATGCTTGTAAACTGATGGAATCCAGACCTTTGGCCCTAAATCAAACCGGAAAGGGCCAAAGTTTACATCAGAGATCAAAATATGGGCAATGTGTTTGCTGAGTTATGAACGTCCATGAAAGCAACTTAAAACTTTTCAGCTGGCTGAGATCCATAGATGAGTTGAGAGGACAGATATATAATGTTAGTAATGTCAAGTGCATCTACATTTGATAACAATGAATAAGCTTAGAAACTGATGCAGGAATTGAGTCTCTGGTGCACGCTTTTTGTAGATTTTATCTTCATTAAAAGAGTTTCAAATCTAGCACGGAATCTTCTGAGGATCAGGTGATGGACACCAGAAGAGCTTCACACTCATGGATTGGAGAGAGAAAGAATGACAAGCTAGAATGGTGAGAGAAAAATACCAGTGGCTTTTTAGCAAGGGACTCTTATAACCAACCTAGCTCTAAAATTAACTCCTAGTTTTGTTTATAACCATGTGACCTTTACATGCATTGTGGATTCTGTATTTATTTGTCAACAGGGAAAATAGTTAATTCAATTGGGGATCTTTTTGTATAAATTCAATTAGAGATCTTACTCTTGGTAGTGTTTGGTTTTGCAGGTGAAGCGAAAATATAGGATTGCCCCTATGCCATCATACCCAGACCGAAGAAGAAACTCATCCGTGTTATTATCAGACGCCAGGCAGAGAATCTCTATGAAGATAGACAAGGATGAGGCCAATGTCATCACAAAGTCTCAGATAGATTCAGAACTAGCAAAGATAAGGTCAATGACAGCGCAAGAGGCAGCTGCAGTTGCTGCTCGAGCAGTTGCAGAAGCAGAAGCGGCCATAGCAGAAGCTGAAGAAGCAGCAAAAGAGGCAGAGGCTGCTGAAGCTGATGCAGAGGCAGCTCAAGCTTTTGCAGATGCTGCAATGAAGACACTTAATGGAAGAAACACCCCAAAATTGGTAAGTCGTTTATTATCTATTCATCAATCATTATCAGTATGATGACAAAATCTTCATGTGTTCTGAGCAATGTGTCTTATTTCTTTTCCATGCAACGTACAGGACTTGCATATAGTTTAATATACAATTTATGGCAAATCTCATCGTTTAAAAGTCATGAACCATGGCTCAGGTTTTGTGAGACATGGGAAACATGTCTAGTTTTTTATTTGGTGATAATTTGTCTCCCCCCCCCCCCCACAAAAACAAAAAAAAAAAAAGAAGAAAAAGAAGATTCTTCCCCAAGCTAAAGGATGTAGAATGAGATATTTTTCTTAAGCTTGGATAGATTAATTTTTCAAGTGTCTTTTCCATTCAAGTTGGTCATCAGGGTTGGGGGTTATAATCTTGTCTAAAACCATGCATGTGATAAGATCACATGTGGCTTCATTTGGGTGAGATTTGATATTGCAGAGGCAGTCCGTAGAGCTGATGCGAGCCTGATAGGAATGAATTAGAGAGGAGCAAAGGATCAACGCTAAGGACTGACAGCCAGATAGATATTTATCATTTGCTGATGTTGTTTATAGTGTACATATATTGAGGGTCTTTCTCATGATCTGATGCAGGATTCCCATATATCGATAGGTTTTGCTAAGGTTTTGTACACATTTATAGAATTCTAGTAGATCCCGAAGAGATGGTGCTTTAATGTATATTTATTGCTCATCAAACATTGTCAATGTACCATTGTAGAAAGCAACTCAAATGATCAGTTCGGAATTCAGCTGAAACTTGCAGCTTGGTTAGTTTACTCTTTTGTACGGAAATATCTTTTTTTATCCAAAAAAGTTAAAGCAAGGTTGCGCCCGGGAAATTCTCGTCTCGCATATGTATTTGAGATGGGTTAGAAAAAGCTGCCTTTTTTCTTTTTGAAAGTTGCTTTTGCAAAAGTAAATTATGGTGCTAAGAATGTACTAGCTGTTACTCTTCCGAGTCCTAAATATAAGACTTTTAAATAGAAGTCTTATATTAGGACTGAGGCAATGGTCTTATATTTAGAATGGATGAATATATTGCATCAAACTTTTGTGACAAGTCCTTCTGCTATTCCACTGTTTTGTAAACTTATTAGACTTTCGTGCTAAACTACTTTCGGAATATGGCTCTGTCTGGATTGACGTTCAAATCCGCTTATAAACAGCTTATTAGTAATAAGCACGTTTGAGTAGTTTCTCTCTTTGTTTAAGCAGCTTTTGGCTTAAAAGCTGCTTAAATTGTGTCACTTCGTGCCTGTTAAGTTTGGATTAGCGGGTGAAAAAATAGTTTATTTTTAATTTGGGTTTCGGAAAAGTTAGACTGGGTAAGAATCAACTGGTTAATGTGATTTATGTTTGAATTAGTTTTTAAGAAAGTTAGATGGAGTAAAAGTAAAAATTGTTTAGATTATGATTGAAGAAATAAGTTTAATTTGTAAAATTATGGTATGACTTTTATTCAATAATGAAAAATAAGAAGAATTATCAAGTGACATAGTATATAATGTTCAACGTTCAATAACCATCGAAAAGTTTCTTTGGCTGAAAACAATTACGCTACACGTTGTTCTCTCTCATTTAGCTGCACGACTGGAAGAAGAAAATGGAGTAAAATGGTGCCCCTTCTTTTTTTTTTTTGAATGGAAAAAATGGTGCCCCTTTTGATTAAAGCTTTAATACCCAACAAACGTTGGCTTTCACTACCCAAACATTTGCAGAAATCCTCTCTTCTTCCAGCTCAAAGACTAAACACCGTTAGTACAGCGGTCATCGACTTCTTCATCTCTCTAAACTTATGTTTACTGGTTCTTAGATCTTGTTCCCTCAGCTCCATATTTAGTTGGCCTTTAGCTCCTCCCTTGTGTCATGCTTGCCGTGAAAAATCAAAAGATAAGGAGTGCCCAACCAGTCTAGTCGGCCACCAACACAGGAAGAAGGTCCAGTCGGCGTACTCTCCCTCTGTCAGCATGATGAAGATGATGATCAACGCTCCCAAAGTTGCCTTAAAAGCATGATCTCATAAGCTATAGGCAGGAGAGTCTTACTTCTTCAATCGGGCTTAAGAATCGTAACTTTTGGCCATAAGTGAGATTGGACAAAAGCTAAACCAAACATCCCGTTAAGAGGCTAATCGTGCTTATGCCTTCAAAAACTAGTTAACCAGTGCTCAAACGCTCTCGCAAACAGAGCCTTCGAGTCCTGCTCTTGCTTTTTAACCGCGCTTAATAACGTGAATGAGAGAGAATGAGGGACCTAGGAGTTGTCTGATTGTTTTTGTGCTTATTGAGGTCAGTTCTTTGTTATGGAAGTGACTATGCGGGGATTAGTACCACTCATTTCAGTCAGTTTCTATTATATTTTTTTTTTTTTTATATGTATGATATTATTCACATCTATACATATATAATATTCACATCTAATATTAATATCTAATACATATTATTCACATCTCATTTTTAGTCGTCTTACAATCAAATTTGTCTTTTTAATTATAATCTAAATAACTCTACTTTTATAAACTTGCTCATTTGTAAAACGTATCTAAATGACCCTCAACACCAGTTTCCTCGAGCATTTTCCCCACAAAGCTCCCAAGACATCCTATCATGTGCTGTTTTCCAAATCAATCTTCATTGCCATGTAGCCTCTTCTTCCCTTCATTCTATTCAAAATATGAAAAAACTCTTCGGAATAAAACCAATTTGATGAGGAGAAACTAGTTCGTCCATTAAGGGCTTCAACCTATTCACTGTTAACTTTGTAACCCCCTTATACAGCACATTACCCAATGCTATGAGTCTAAAGTCACCATTATTTCAGGATGATCAATTTTTGGTACAACAACCAACAGTGTACTATTTTCCCCAATCCTCTCGGGTTGTTTCCATATTTCCATGAACAGTTTGAAAATATCCTCCCTAACTACATTCCAATTTTGCTGGTAAAATTCAACTTTAAGTCAGATTAAAAAACCATTTAGATAAATAATTATTTATATTCTATGATAAAGTGATAAACGACGCGCACTCAATTTTTCTTCCTTCTATAAATACATTTATTTGAACCAAATATCAAATTAAATTTAACCGAAAGGATGGCTCTCCCAACATAATTATTTATATCCATAAGGTTTGAACTTTGAACCTCACTTAAGAAGAGTTTACTCTTTCCCGCTCAAACACCAGTTGATAATGTGCAATGTTTAATCTGGACAAACTCATCGATATACACCTACCATGCGCAAAGTAAACAAAGCATAGTTTAAAATGATGAGATCATCAAGGATCGTGTCAAGTATCTACATTATATCCTTCCTTTCCCTTTTCTTTCACCCTCCTTTTTAAATTCCATAACTAAAGTTCTGGTTCCTTGCTCATCACGTGGATATACTCATCTTTGAGACCATCAGGATCAAACGTAGATGGCATGGATTTTATTTTGTATTTCATTCGATTCACTGTCAGGGCAGGGAAAAATCTTTAATCTGAATTGCTTTGATTGTAACCACTACAATAGGCTATAATTACTAAGCATATATTGCTGAAACCAACTGTCAACCACAAGTCAATACATGATTTTGTCTTTTGATAATAACAGGGACATGACATAACATACAAGCAGTAAGGAACACGATAGAAAACTGAATGTTTTCAATTTGCTCCTATTCTCCTACTATCTACTAAAGTCTAAACATAAGAGGATTCCGTACAAACTTCTATATGCGGCCATCCCACAAGCAATCTGCCTGAACTTTCTCGCCTTTTAAAAGCTTCTCGATTTCTGCAGGAGGGTTTAAACCTAACTTATGGGCTCGTTCCCACCGAGCTAGTCTGGTGATCCCAATGCATGGTCCATACGCCATGTTCATGTCAAATTGACGCAGCATTTCTTCATGCTCATTGACATCATCTATTAACAAAGTAAGAGGTGTATTGGACTATATATCAGATACAAACAGCCATTCTACGTGTCATCACGAAAATCAATCTTCTTGTCATGCAAAACCAATTCATTTGATCAAGAATAAACTGAAATCAGTAAAGCAAAAGGAGCAACAGAGAATCTAGGTACCACATATCACGATACAGATACAGTACCTTTCCCTTTTCTATAATAATCTAACTAGATTACTGAACATTATGATTTCCACCACACCCTTCAAAGAGGACTATTGGAAAACATTAACATCATCAGAAACATCCCTATCCTGCCCGTTTCTTTCATTGTGTATTTCAAATAGGTGATGCTATTGAGAGTTCTACCTATCAGGAATTTTTCAGGGAGGATAGCTTGAGTCTGAAAGCATGATCTCTAGTGAAAAGAAAACTCAACCTCTTGAGTTCTGAGAGGTAGAGAGCACTGCATAGTACTACTCTTTACAAATATAGCTAAACCACTGGCCAAAGGTAGGTTTTGCTGTACTTATTCAACATATTTTAGGAGACTAGCAAAGGGCTGCTCAGTTAGATACAAAATATCAAACTTCAAGTGATGGAAATGTGGCTACACTATGAATTCTTTCTGTTTTGTTTATAAAAAAAATAATAATAATTCGTAGGAGACTTGATCAGTCCCAAAGAAAGTCATGCCTACCATCAATATGTCAACATTACATGGGGTCGTACTAGTATCATTCACAATAATATGACTTTTCTCGAACTCCATGCAATTTTTTCCCTAGTATTTCTTTACACATTCTATTAAGAGTTGTGTGACTTCTTTATTGCTTCAATCTCTAACACATTCCAATATAGTTTAAAGATATCTAGTTCTTAAACATACTCGTAAACCCATAACAAAAACAGCCTACAATTTAGAGACTAGAACTATAACCATTCCGAATTATAATCGATATCTTTGAAGGCCATTTTCATAGTCAAACATTTTATCAAAAGGAAAATACGCGAGGAAAAAAAAAAATCATGTGCGATTATATCGATGAAAAGGAACAGCAAAGCAAACACAGATGAAAAGCCAAAATAAAACCCTAGAAAAG